TCCTGAAAGAACGTTTCCTGCAAGTGGCCATCGATGGATATCTCTCGAATACTTTCACCATCATAACTAGTGAAATTCATGATAATGTCAGTTCTGACAATTCCGCTTTCTGCTTCGATCAGTTTGTTGGGGGTTAAAATGGACACCAATATATCTTGGCACAAACATGTCGCTAAAATTGCAAAGGTTGCTTCTCAGAAGTTTGGAACACTGTTCCGAACCAGAAAACTGTACACACTTCAGAAACTTTTGATGCTTTATGAAGCTCAGATCAGACCTTCTTTGGAGTATTGTTCTCATGTATAGAGCTCTGCCCCCAAACGTACCCAGAAGTTGCTGGATTCCATCCAGAAAAGAGCAATCCACCTGATTAGAGACGCGAACATAACGTGCAACCTTGATAGTCTGGAACATCGAAGAAAGGTTGGAGATTTGTCTCTCTTCTATAGTACTTTCACTGGAAGTGTTAAAGTGACTTGGCACATCTGATTCCACCAATAGCAGTACATATCAGAAATACGCGACGGACTGTGGCTACTCATCGTTTCGAGAATCAACTCAGTACACCTCAAAAAGTTCTCAAACTTCACTGTTTGAGAACTGTTTCATCTGGAGAACTGCGTACTTCATCTGGAGTACTTCGTACTCCAGTACTGAAGATGGCGGCCGCAGTTGCAGTTCAAACGTTTGGAGATTATGACCGAAGAAGACCACGGCAAAACCCGGAAGCCAATCAAAATATTTCACTATAGATATATTTTCAGGCAGAGCATTAGGAACTGAAACGTTGACCTTTGAAAAAATTATATAAATTTATCATCGTACATTTTTCATATAACGGATATGTGTAGGACGTTTTTGGTTGACTGAAAATCGAAAGAAAAATTGTTCTATATCTCAAGTCAAATAACTAACATACATACATTAGAAACATTTTATTTTATTTCTCATCAACTTTCTATTCAGAACACTTTTCACAAATAGTCAGAGTATACTTGAAGACTGTCTGTAAATCAAATCATCTAAATGAACAATTCGTTGAGGCCAGTCTGAACTTCCTCCACTGTAGGTTAATGGACTGACACCTATCAGAAAACAACTACTCCCCTGGCTGATATGTAGGAATAACTTCAGTGAAGAATCTTGCACTGATACCTGTCAGATATAATCCAACGTCCTTTGTGGTATTAGCCAGGGGCGTAGTTGTGTTCTGATATGTGTCAGTCCATCAACCTACAGTGTAGGGAGTTGAGACTGGCCTAAAAGAATTGTTCCTTTATATGATTTGATTTATAGTCAGTCTTCAAGTATGCCCACAGACTATATGTGAAAAGTTATCTCTCCTTATATAAAAAAGCGATTTATTTCCAACAGGAATACACAGTTACAGGAAATGCTATTATTACGGAGTATATATNGTTATTTGACATTAATACGGATTTTTTTATAACTCAGTGTCATCATTCGAAACTGAAATGGAGATGTTTTCTCTATATAAATCTGAAGATACCAAGCTTCTAGTTATTCAACATCTATCTTCACAGTCCACCACATCTTCGTCAATAATAATTTATTTCCTCAATGTAAATTCAAGCTATAATGAATATCCATCATTTCAAATCTATTTCCAACAAACTCACTTCCGATTTCTCGTGAAATACTTTTTAATTCTGAAATGTTCATTCTCATTAACACGGACGAAAAAAGCGACAAGCCTGAAAACCATCTGAGGAGATAATGAACATTGCTGTCGGATTCAAAGTTTATCCTTTTTGTCATTTCACACATTCTCATCCGTTCATCTGAAAGCAAGATAAAGAAAGAATAACGATTATTAATGAACTTTCACGAAATTCTGATGGTTGTTTGATGAAACTTTATTCTGACGGGCTTTATCTCGTTTCCCAAAATGATTTGGTTTGGTAAAATTATTTGATAATGTTACATCAGTGTCTACGTTATCACATTAGAGAGTTCTTTACGTCCACGATTTTTATATCATGACCTTTCGGACTTTCATTTTACGGTCATCGGAATGGCTCTACTCAACTTTTTTATTTGACAATAGTAGGAAATCAGAAACGAACAATGAATATATGAAAGTTCTCTCATTTGTCTGACTGTCCGTCCTCTTCAAAAGTATTGCCACTTTAAAATTGTTATATTTTGCGTATGTCAGATCTAAGTTAGAGTATGGCTCTGTGTTATGGAATCCAGTTTACGACTACCAAAAAACATCAATTGAGAGCGTGCAGAGGAAGTTCCTGAAATACTTATGTCTAAAAGTTGAAAATACTCCTTGAGCGGCATCGGTCATAATATTTTGTTGTCACGATTTGATGACACCTTTGGAAAATAGTAGAGTTATCCTCAATATAAAATTCCTTCATCAGTTACCTAACAACAATATTGACAGTACGGTTCTTTTACCCGAGATCAATTTCTTAGTAGTAACAAGAAGTGAAGGTCGACACAATCTGACGTTCTATTGCAACGCATCACGCACAAATGTTATGCTACGATCACCATTGAATTTGTACCTTGAAATTGTAACTTTTTTGTTATATACTCAATTTTTCATACCTCTTTTGAAATTCTACGTACATGAATATTTTATATATACTTTGTTTTGTCATTTACTCTTGAACGTTTCAATATTCCATTATTTTCAATATTAATTTCATATATACTCTGTAATAATATCATTTCCTGTAACTGGGTACTCCTATCAGAAATAAATCTTTTTTTTATCATATCGGCTTGCCGGTAATTAATGATCACTTAGCTGAATGTGTTAGGTACGGTCATCTATTAATAATGCTAATGTGGCTTACAGAATGTGCCGAAGTTTTGCAGACAAAGCCCGATCAGCTCGCCCTTCAGTGAAAAATAATAATAATCAATGACGTTGAGATCCGAAAAATTAAGCATCTTTATAGAAGTTTGCATTCCAAATCATCCGTTTCACAGTTGTTATTCTCCCGACAATAAGGAGGCCGTCGAATTTTCAATATGGATTGTCTACATGACAGATCCTGTGTTTGGATCCCCTTGTCCGCATGGTCTGCAACAATGAAAGAGCAGAAATTGAAACTTTTTCAGGGCAGGTAGCCAAGCGGCTGATGAACTCGATTTAGTTATCGACACTGAACGAGGTGATTACAACTATGTCACCCATTCAGCAAAAGGCCCACATAAAAACCGCAAAGATCGCTTGACTCCTGCAGAAACATAAGGTTGGACCAATGCATTGGGTTTTTTTTCGACAACATTGAAGACGTCTGCTTATCAAGGCACCTGGCCTTCGCTTTTCTCAAATCGAGTGGGCTGAAGTTGGAAACTGAGGAGTCCATAATGGCCTGCAGTCGCGTTAAGTATGAAGAGTTTCCTGACAACTAACGTGACGTAGCTTGACGGTGTCAAGTTGTCATTTCCATTTCTAATCTGTTTACATTTTGAAATAAATTGATATCAGTCAAAAGATTTCTTATATTATGATCCATAAATCACCATCTATGAACACGTGTACAAAGTTTCTCGTGCCGGGAGTTTTTTACAAACATCAGAGTTTGTATACATCTTTTGGTCTGTATGGAACCCATCTGCCAAAGTGAGAATATTCTACATCGCAGTGTCCTGTTCAAGGACGTGACATTCTTGAAAAAAGTGATTTAACGGCGGTGGTCTGTCTATCATTCTGTGAGATACATCTTCTAAGATGGTAATTCCGTTCTATAGATTTAACTTTTCCGAAACTTTCACAAAAGTAAATCAAGTAGTAACATATCTGATGATGGTGGAAAATATTGGTTTGAATATTGGTCTCAAACAATATGATGTTTCAAAGGAAATGTTTCAATATATTCCATCATACTGAAACTACTTAAGTAGTGAAGAAACAACTTAATAAATAGCGATATTCACGAATACCAGAAAAATACCAGAAAAATATCAGAATGCGTTTTCAAAAAAATCCCTGCCTGATTACAAAATGTTATTACACTTTCTGTTAACTGTTAACAGGTACTTCATTTCATTTTGGCTACCTGTTTACTCCTTATCCAAATATTTTTGAGGCAAAAACACAAGCACTACAGAAAAATCATCAAGACACTCTGAGAGCGGTGCCTGTGCAAAAGTAGTGATTCATATTGGATATGAATCGCTGGAGATTACATTCATTTGGAGAATTTTTTTCAGGAAGTGTATTTCACATAAACGCAGTTTTCCAAATGAATGAGTTCTGAAACAGTGAAGTTTGAGGTCTACTGAATTGAACCTCAAAATGATGAGCAGCCTCAGATCGTCGCGTATTTTTTATATGTACCGCTCTTAGTGGAATCAAATATGCCAAGTCACGTGAAGAGAGACAAATCTCCAACATTTCTTCGATGTTTCAGACTATCAAGATTGCAACTGATGTTCGCGTCTCCAATCAAGCGAATGGCTCTTTGCTGAATGAAATCCAGCAGCTTCAGGGTATGCTTAAGGGCGGAGCTCCATACATAAGAACAATACCCCAAAGAAGGTCTGATCTCAGCTTCATAAAGCATCAAAAGTTGTTGAGGTGTGTACAGTTTTCTGGTTCGGAACAGTGTTCCAAGCTTTGGAGAAGCAGTCTTTCTAATTCCAGCGACATTATTGTGCCAGAACATATTGGTGTTCAATTTAACACCCCCCAAATTTATTGAAGCAGAAAGCGGAATTGTTTATCCTGTCGTTATTATATCCGGTTCGGAGACACTTATCTGTTTATAGAAAACTGATGCCTGGGTTTTTTTATTGAATTGAACCTGGATACTTTCACCCTAATTCGAAATCAATTCTAGGTCATCATCAAGATATTCAATGAAATATAGTGACCTCACACATTTTTAGCTTTCGAAATAAGAAACTAATCAAACTAATTGTCGAAACACTTCCATTTTATTTCACCGGTACAACTAAATTTTAAGAAATATTTGGTATTGATCTTTTTTTAATAAAAATCATTGTTTTAGGTTGGTACCACGGCGAAAGACTGAGAGATGGACAAATGGGGTGGTTTCCAGCTAACTATACAACTGAAATAATCAATCCACATGTACGAGCTAGAAATCTGCGTCAGAGATATAGGCTTCTGACATTTTCAGAAAATTACTTGAATTCCTCATGAGATATTCCCAGTTCTCATTATATACCCACGAGAAGTATTTTTATAAAGTTGTTTTGTATTTATCTTGTTATGTAATAAATTGCTAAAACTGTTGAAAATTCTATTAATTTTTCGATTTTAACTGTTCGTGTTCTGCTGGAATCTTAAAAGTGATTTTGTCACCTCAGGGGGACTTTTCCAAATTGAGTCAACCACATTATCAGTTTGAAGTTGTCATCCCTAAACACTATTATTATTAACCCTGAAGAATTTGAGGACTTTCAAAGACGATAGACAATAAAAAACATACTTTGTGGAGAGAAAAAGTTTGGATCTATCTTTCTTGGTTTTCTACTATTCCATTAGTGAATGTAACAATTTTAAATTTCTATTATGAATATTTGAGTAGGAACGTGATGAACAGAATATAATTTCTCATAATTGAATATTTGTAGGCAAAAAAGTTTTACCACAGGTAATTTTTATCATAAATCATGAATGGATAGAACTGATAAATGACTTATGTGTACGTAGTTCAATATATTTGTAGGGCGAAAATTCTATCAGAAGTAAAATACACGCCAAGTTTCAAGTTTCATTGAATTTTCACGGTACTCCTTTCGACGTATCAATATTTATTTACCATCTCCCATACCGTGGTGTGAGTCACAACTGGATTGGGTGAAATGTGGTGAATCAAGTATGAGAACTTTCCTCACTGAGGTCTTTCTATAAATAATCAGAACCACCATTTGAACGGAAATATCTCGATAAAATCTACGGAGTTGAAAGGAAAACTTTTGATACTTCAATCGATTTTCCATCTACTTTCGGATAATCGTCTCATTCAGAGCCCAAAACTCGGTGTGAAATATCGTCGTACCTTGGTGGTCTAGGACTACAGTTCATATCAGATTGAGAGTGGAAATGAATGATCTCAATAAATTCGGTACTCTTCATCTCCCACAACTTGTAGCAGGCTTTGTATCTTGTTCAAAACACGTGTCAGCGTAATCGAAATTAATTATTTTCTAGCGCCCCCAAATTTGTTCACTTTACTACATCTTAAGAATCACACCGTGTTAGGAATCACACGTTAAAAGGTAAGACCTCGTTAGTCCTTAGTTCGCACAAGTTTCTAAACTTCTGAGAGTTGTCTTTCGTATGGGGGCGACAGCTGATTAACGGAAAAACAGACTTTAAACAGATTTTTTAAACAATCGCAGTCATTATTTTAATAATTAAATTATGTGTGTCATGTGAAAATAAGACTTCCTGATGTGGGTAATGTAAAACACCATGTTGTAATATTAGGAAAACTGTTATTCATGTTATTAAAACAAACATTTCAATTTGAATTTTAAAACTCATCTAATGTGAAGGATGAATTTGATGATTTTCAACAAGTTTGTTAAAATCAGGCCCGAATTTACTCAAAAACAGCCGTAAGTCACGGCGTTCGGTAATCTGCAACCGATTTTTCTTTTTAGTTAGCAACGTTGCCACAGCACTAAATCCACGTTCACACAAATACGATAATGGGAATGCTATCAAAAATCGTTGAACGATGGACCACAATCCAGGGTTCGATTGCGGGATTCGCTTTTGTAGCCAAAATTGTTGGTATCCATTTTTGAATTTTATTTTTATTTCCTCGTTCGTTATCAGTTCTGTGAGTTCTTCTTCCAGCTGGGGTGATCCTGCTGTGTTGACGTTTGAAAAAGGATCCAACACCCAGTCCGGTGTTTCCAATTTAAAAATTTCCTGGAATCGTTCTGCGAAATCTCTGTGGAGGTTCTCCAAATGTTGGCAGTAAACAAGCAAGTCGTCTTTGTTGAAGGATACTTCTGACAAATCAGGGAAATTGCGAAACTCACGTCTGCCGATATTTTTCTTGTATAAGAGCTATTTGGTTAAAAAAGCAGCAATGATATTTTTTGTTCTAATCAAATTGAAGTCGTCACCTTGAAGTTGGAGATTGACATCATTGAATAATTTATACAAGTACGCAATATCATTCTTTGAAGTGATGAGGTTGTCGTGCAATTCTTTGTCTTTGTTTTAAAAGAACTCTATTACAGAGTCAAATAGATTGTAAAATCGAGTCAGACAGTTACCTTTTGATAACCAAGGCACTTTTGTGTCAAATAGCAATCGGTTGAAATCTTCATCATCAGCAACACAAAGCTGATTAAATAATCTGTCATTCAAAGAGGTGTTTCTGATTGTATTGCCTGCTTTGATGATATATTGCAGTGATTGAGAGAGGCGCTCACTGAAATTTTTCGCAACGAAATGTTGCCTATGAATGACGCAATGTACAGCGGGCACATCTGAAAGTTCATTTTTCAAGTACGCTATGAAGCTTTTGTGACGTCCTGTCATAGCCGAAGCGCCATCCGTAGCAGCTGATATAATATTCTTCAGTGGAATTTCTTTCTCATCGCAAAATTTTTCCAGTGTATTATATATAGTTTCTCCTTTTGTATCTGTCTCTAAATTTCTGGCAAATAGTAGTTCTTGATATATGTCATACATGAGGTTTATAAACCTCACGTATGACAACAACAATGATTCATTGGTTGGGAAAGTGGACTCATCCAACTGAAATGAGAATTTAGTAGTCTTCAGATGATTGCACAATGACTCTTCAGTGTTTTCAGCCATCTCATTAATTCGTCTTTGCACGAAACTATTGCTCAAAGGAATTTTTCGGATATTGTTTAGAAGCCGCTGAAAAAAGTTTTGACAGTTGGCTGAGCTGAGTGTTTCTTTTCCAGTTTTTGAAAATAGTCACAGTATTGTCTTTTTTATCTGAATTCATTTTATTCAAATCATCTTGTAGCCTTGAGGGTTTCATCGCTTCATTCGAAAATGTTTTTTGACAAAAAAGGCACAGAGGCGAAGATGGATTTGTGGGATTTTCGATAAATTCATATTTTATATATTCCGCGCTAAACTGCCGTTTCTTCTTTTTTTGCTTTCAACATAATTTTGTCTTAAAAAATGCCGTAGTAAAGAATCGAGTATTAAAAACTCGGTAATGACACCACTCACAGTATTCACCACCGCACGTACATCACTTTACCTAGCTAGTCGCTAAGTAAATTCACTTCTTTTCGTAATATCGTCGAATGACATTACTGGCTGGATGGCGCACGCGTTTTTATTTGAGGCAGCGGGCGGGCCTAGTACTTTCGAGACTGGAGACTAGAAACTTCTTGCTTCGCATTGAAGCTTACCGCTATCTATTGTACAGTTTGACAACTATCGGACAGGAAATAGTTACTGTCTAGTCCCCTAGATGGCGTTACACGAGGAAACGCGCGTTAAGCGTAAAGGAGCGGTAAAGTTTGTGTTGAAAGCAAAAAACATTTTTAAATTTGCCATCGCCCCCCTAAACCGCTTCAACGCCCCCCCAATCTTCTCTGTGCCCTTTACTGCCCCTCTATAGGCCTCCAGTGCCCACAAGGGGGCGTTATCGCCCACTTTGAGATAGACTAGCCTAAATGATTTTAAGATTCGAGAGAATAATTGCTCCTATAATTGAAATACTTTTAGAGATTTGTAGAGTTTGCAGAGTTCCACGACAATCGATAATTCATCATTTTTCTCATTCGTTTTGGAATATATCAGATTCATTGGATTGTATCTACCCGGGGGTAGGGAATGGGTTGTTCCAATGAATTCGAAAAATGGAAATACCGAGAACTCGTAATTCCGCGTTATGTAGGTTCGACATGCTGAAAGCAAGTGCATACAGGACTTTCTCGGTGCTTATCGATTCGTGTGATTAATTTTGCTTAGGCTTTTGAAACACTCTTGAGAACGCTTTTAACTTTGCTAAGGCTTAGATTGTGATGAGAAGATGATTCACAAAACGTGGTTGTTTTCGAAACAGGAGAGAAGGTTCACTGTGAATTTATTATTTTCCACTAATTATACTTTTCTCTCATCGCACTAGTGACTTTTCAGCAGGCGTTAGAATTCATATCCTGATGTTCATTAATATTCCATGGAGTGGAGCGCTACGGATACATCTTAGTTTAGTGGCTATTCGATGCATTGCAGTAATGAGGATGGTCAATACGTCTTGTAGTATATTCAATATTCAATATAGGACGTGTGTTGTCTCGTCTACTTGATTTAAGCCTCCATATTGTGATTGTCTCATGAGAGTTCCGAAAACACAATTTCGCTATACAGGGTGAGCCATCGAAAATTCGACATGTAGGTTTTGGGTACTAATCTTGCAAATCCTATTAAAGGCTTAGCCAGGTCGATTGTTATTGGGAGGGGGTCAGTCACCCCCGGAGCAGAGGGGTGAACAACCCTTGGAATTTTAATTTGGACGAACCATATTAAATTTAGAGTTGAAGTCACTTACTTTATTCTTATGTTAGCATATGCTCAAAATGGTCACCTCCAGCCTCCATGCAATTAAATATATTCTGCTGAAAACGTTCTCGAACATTGTGGAGCATTTATGGAGTGATTTGGCGACATTCATTTGTGATTCGTTGCCGTAAATGCAGGAGGAGTACAGTAAATTCTGCTTTTCAAATGACCCCACAGAAAGAAATCTAACGGCGAAAGGTTTGGTGATCGTGGTGGCCCCTTCTTCCAATCCAGTGATCCAAAAAAATCTGATCTACATACTGCCGAACAGGCAGAGCATGGTGCGGAGGAGCTCCATATTGTTGAAATATTAACCGATCCTCCCGATAATTGTCATTTTCAATATCAGTGAGAAGGGGATTAATAGTATCTTCCATAAGCTCCAGATACATTTGTCCGACTAAATTGCTTTCTAAAAACAATGGGCCAACAATACGGTCACCGAAAATTCCAGCCCATACATTTAATTTTTGTGGACGTTGAGTATGTACTTCATGAAAAATGTCAAGATTTGAATCAGACCAATAGCGACAATTATGGCGATTAACTGTGCCATGTAGAAAAAAAGAACATTGATCACTGAAGCAAATGTTGGAAATCATTGTTCAGAGAATTCCAAGATCTTTCAAACGATGTGCGACTCGCCCCCTTTTCCTTATTAAAATTCCAAGGATTGTTCACCCCTCTGCTCCGGGGTTGAAGTGACGACGCTGTAA